TTCTTAACTTACCTATCGTGATAGTGTGGTATGCGGTTATGTCGCTTGTCCAGGTTCTGGCCCTGAAAATCGAGAGGATCTGCGCACGTTTGGATGCGTGGAACGAGTTCCTGCGACTCTCCGGTGTGGGAGCCCAGCAGGACAGGTTTCTTGTCAGCGAACGTGCTGGCGGCAACTGATCGATTGCACTGCCACTGATTTACCTCAGAAAAATTTCGACTCAAATTCGACCACAAGAGTCAAGATTAGTTATATTTCACGTCCTTGATTCTCTAGTTACATAGTTCTTTCTCAACTTCCGCTATTTTCACACCATCTCTGCCAACAAAAAACAATAATCGAGAGCATCGCAGACGCTCTAATCTCCTCCATCCCCAAAATTTCCTTCGCCAGCAATGAATCGGCGGTGGACAGCGGCCCCGGCAGAGACTGCGCATCCTCAGCATTCCGTAGACGGTCCTTGAGCTCTACCCGAGCGACTGCCAAATGTTCGACTCTTCGAGTACGGGAAGAGCGCGCGGAGAAGGGAAGGGGATGCATGGGGACGGTGGAACGGCGAAGACGCGAAGATGGGATGTAGCAAGGAATACGATATGATGGTCTGAGCGCCGGAATAGAATGGAGATGGAACAAGGACCAGGATAAGGCACACGAGCGCAAAGCGTCCTCTCTATGTCCGTGCAGTGAAGGGTGCAGTCCAGTGCGAAGAAATAAATAAAGATGGGGAAGACAGGCATGGACAGGACGAGGACTCGGGCTCGTGCGCACCCAGTCGAGTCCTGGCAAGTCCAGTTAAGACCGCCAAATCCCCGCAAGCAAGGGACCAAGGAGAGCCCAGTCCGCTCGCGTCGTACGAATAGCACGAAAGGAAGAGGGAGGGCGAGCCCGTTCTCGTCCACGGGTCCATGGAGTACTAATAGCACGAGAGAAAGACAAGATGATAGGAAGAAAGCAATCGAGGGCGAGCACGCGAGCATGCGAGGACAGACAGCGTGAATGAAAGCGAAGGCACGCACGCACGCGAGCACGAAGGCCGCCGCGCTACACCCGCGACGTAGAAGACGGGGACAACGTGAATGGTACGCGAGCACACGAGCGCCAGGGCTGCCGCCCTACACCCGCAGCACCCGCAGACCCCAAACTCCAACTCCAACGCCGCGAGAGGAATAGGAGTAGGAGCTCCCGTAGTAGAACGAGAATAGAAAAACAACAAGAAACGAAGAAAGCGAAGAGGAAGAAAGGAAAGCGAACAGAAAAGGACTCACATCTCCATCTGCACGTCCTCCCCCAGCGCCGTTGTCGGCGTCTGCGCCGCAAAGAAGCGCTCGCTGTCGTCCGAAGCGGCGGTACTCGGTGTCCCAGGCGGGAGCCCGCTCGTCTGGAGCGCCTGCAGACGGTGGTGTACGGGGTGCATATGCTTGCCGTCCTCTTGCTGCTCGAGCGTCGCTATCGGCGGTCCCTCCTCCCCGTCCCCGGCAATGCGCACCCCATCCCCATCCCCATCGACATCCATCCCAACCAACTCATCCTCCTCCTCGCTCTCCTCCTCATCCTCTTCGTCGCTCTCCTCATCATCATCGTACTCCCCCTCCTCCTCGCCCACCCCACCCGTCGTACGAGGCAACTCCTCCTCCTCCTCCGCCACGACCCACACGAGCCCCCGAAACCTTGGTGCCTTCCTCCTTCTTCTCGCCCCTGCTGCATCGCCGCGGGAGCCCTCGAAGAACGTATTCTGCGCGTGGTTGTCGCCCTCGAGCCCGTGGAGGAAGGGGAAGAGCACGCCGTCGGGTGGGTGGGCGAGGATGTGTGCGGTGTGGAGGGCGGCGAATTGGGGGACGGAGAGGATGTGTGCTTTTCCTTGTCCATGTCGTGCTCCTTCTCCAAATCCATGTCCAGGTAGAGGTACGGGCGAGGGTAGAGACAAGACAGGCAACGAGCCCAGAAACCCGCGTGCATGCCTCAGCCCGTGTTCCTGCTCGTGCTCTTGTTGAGCGTCGTTGTGCCGCACGTCGTCCATAGCAGTGTCGGTGGCGGGTAGTAACAACCAAAGTACCTCTTTCCCTTTCCGGCCAAGCCCCGGGTGCTATTCCCTTTTCCGCTCTCATATCCCCTTTGGGCATAGCCTATTATTGCATACCCCGCTCATGTGACGCCTCGTGCCCTCTCAATCACCGCTGCTATCTATCCATCAAGCTTCTCAACTTCTTGGCTTCGAATTCACACCGGGGAATAGAAAAATGGTGTAAATGAATGTTCGATTGGAGGAGGTAAAATGAATTTCATCCGTGCCGCGACTCTTCGAGAAACGTTAACGGTAGGACATGGCTGTAATTTGTAGACTTCCCCGCACCCTCACACCGGTACCCATCTACAGGAGGGAGGATTCCATCCACCCCGTCCACTTTTAGCCATCCCAAATTGATATGTAAGTCTGATCTCGATCTTCCGTGGTGTCAATTCCGCTTGTCAATCACCCATCTACCGGTATTGATCGGGTCTCCAGAAATAAATTACTCCAAGCGGCGTTGGAGTTTTTTAAAATTGACTTACTGCGGATCCGGGAGTCGCTGGTGGGTCCTCGTCCATAAATAAGTTACAGACATTTTTTGTACGACCAAGTTACGCTAAAAGGCGGGATTATTTTTGTTCTCTCCAAAAATGTTGGGTTATAAGTAACATTTAGAGAGAGGGAGAAAGGCTCGGTAGCAGAGGGTCTGCATCTGCAATGGATTTGTTTGAACCAATTCACAATTATGCAGGCAGCCTGTTCGACTCAGGCCCGAGCCATGTGGGGTTTCACCGCTATTTTTTTTCTTTCCATTTTTGCCATTCCCCAGAAAATTCTACAATAAAATGAGGGTGCAGAGCGAGGGAGAAAGGCTCGGTAGTGGAGGGTCATCTGCTTTTCATAACATGTGACGTGTGAATGGGTAATGCAGCACAAAGCCTGTTCGACTCAGGCCCGAGCCATCGCTCGTTTCGACTCCAGTTTTTTTGCCTTTTCATTCCCGAGAAAATTCTACAATAAAATCAGGGTACAGAGCAAGGGAGAAAGGCTCGGTAGCGGAGGGTCCGCATCCGCTTTCCATCATTGTGTCCAGAGCATAATGCAGACATTGCCTGTTCGACTCGGGCCCGAGCCATTACTGCTTTCGAAACTGTTTTTTATTTTTCCTTTTTTGTCATTCCCCAGAAATTCTGAGTCTTAAGGGAGGTACAGAGCAAGGGAGAAAGGCTCGGTAGTGGATGGTCCGCATCTGCTTTACATTCTCGATTCAATCCACAGTATGCAGACATAGCCTGTTCGACTCGGGCGCGAGCCATTGCGAATTCGCTTCTCTTTTTTTTCCCCCCTTTTGCCATTCCCGAGAAAATTCTGAGTCTTAAGGGAGGTACAGAGCAAGGGAGAAAGGCTCGGTAGCGGAGGGTCCGCATCTGCTTTCTATGTGGTGTGCCAGAGCATAATGCAGACATTGCCTGTTCGACTCAGGCCCAAGCCATAGCTCATGGGCATCCTCTTTTTTTTTGCTCTTGTTTCTCTCCACAGAATTCTTAGGTTATAGAAAGTGCGGAGTGAGGGTGGAAGGCTCAGTAGTGGACCTGTTCAACTCTGACCTGAGCCATAGAAAGTTTCCTCTTTTCCTTTTTTTTCATCGCCCCACAATCTTACAATAAACTGAGGGTGCAGATGGAGGTGGATACGGCTCGGTGGAGGGCCCGCATCTGCTTCCATCCATTGTGTTCAAGGGAACTATGTAGACAATGCCTGTTCGAATCAGGTCCGAGCCATTCCATTCTTCATACCTCTCTTTTTTCTTGCTGCAGAAATTCCACAATAAAATGAGGGTGCAGAGGGAGTTAAGAAGGCTTGGTAGTGGATGGTCCACATCTGCTTTGCATTGCTTAAGTCAATCCCGAGTGTGCAGACATAGCCTGTTCGACTCAGGCCCGAGCCATAGATCTGCTGCCTTTCTTTTTTTTTCTTTTTTTTTTTCTTTTTTTTGTCATTACCTCAGGAAATTATGAGTTATGGGAGGCGCAAAGCGAGGTAGGAAAGGCTCGGTAGCAGGGTCTGCATCTACTTCCATTACATGTGTATGAGGGGATAATGCAACAATGCCCGTTCGACTCAGGCCCGAGCCATTGTCAGTCTCGCTTCTCTTTTTTTTTCTCCTGCCATTAATTCCAGATAATTCTACAATAAAATAAGAATGCAGAAGGAGGTAGATAAGGCTCGGTAGTGGAGGGTCCGCATCTGCTTCCCATTCAGTGTCATTGTAAGAGTAATGCAGATAAAGCTTGTTCGACTCAGGCCCGAACCATACCTCTGCCCCCTGTCTTTTTTGTTCCTTTTGCTATTCCCTAGAAAGTTTTACAATAAAATAAGAATGCAGAAGGAGGTAAATAAGGCTCGGTAGCGGATGGTCCGCATCTGCTTTCCATTAATCAGGTATTTCAGAGGATAATGCAGACACTGCCGGTTCGACTCAGGTCCGAGCCATAACTCTTGGACATCTTCTTTTTTGCTCTTGTTTCTCTCCACAAATTCTTAGGTATAGGACGTACGAAGTGAGGGAAGGGAAGGCTCGGTGGAGGGTCCGTATCTGCTTTCCATCATTGTGTCCAGAGCAAATAATGCAGACATAGCCTGTTCGGCTCAGGCCCGAGCCATTCCATTCTTCGTATGTCTCTTTTTTTCGCTGCAGAAATCCGACAATAAAATGAGAGTGCAGAGCAGGGGAGGAAAGGCTCGGTAGCGGATGGTCCGCATCTGCTCTCTGTGTTCTCTTCATCAAATATTACCATGTTGCAGACAATGCCTGTTTGACTCAGGCCCGAGCCATGGTAGTCTCTCGTAGACAGACGCTACAACAGTTTTGGTGCTCGTGCCTCGCATGTTGTAGAGTCATGGTATCTTTCCATACATTTTCCTTCTTTTTTTTTTTGCCAGTCCCACTAGAAATTCTCGGTTGTGAGGAACATTTAGAGAGAGGTAGGAAGGCTCGGTAGCAGAGGGTCTGCATCTGCTTTCCATTCAAGATGTAGATGCGTGAAAATGTTAATGTAGACATAGCCTGTTCGACTCAGGCCCGAGCCATTCCTGGATCCGCTCAGTTTTTTTTTCTTCTCCTCTCATTCATTCCGCCCAGAAATTCCTACTAGGTGTAGAGAGAGAGGATAAGGCTCGGTGGAGGGTCCGTATCTGCCCTCAATGATTTTGGCGTCCATCTTGATGCAGATGCTGCCTGTTTGACTCAGGCCCCAGCTATAACTATATTCTCAAGATTTTTTTCTCCTCATCATCCCAAAAAATTGCCTCGGTTAAGGAAGGTGCTAGGAGAAAGAATATGGCTCGGTAGCATATAATATGTCCAGAGCATAATGCAGACAAAGCCTGTTCGACTCAGGCCCGAGCCAGGTGAGGTTTCACCACTATTTTTTATTTTTATTTTCATTTTTATTCCCCTCCGAAAATTGTGAGTTATGCGAGGTCCAGAACAAGGGAATAAGGCTTGGTAGTGGAGGGTCTGCATCTGCTCTACATTCGAAGTGTGTGAATGGGTAATGTAGACAAAGCCTGTTCAACTCAGGCCCGAGCCATAGCATCTTTTTCGGCTTTTTTTCTCCTGACATTCATTCATTCCCTCGAGAAATTCGACAATATAATGTGGGTGCAGAGGGAGGGAGATACGGCTCAGTGGAGGGTTTGTATCAGCATTGTACATGTGTATACAATTATGCAGAGGGAGCCTGTTCGAGTCAGGCCCGAGCCATTGCTCCTTTCCATACATTTTTTTTTCTCCTGACATTCACTACATTACCCCCGAAAATTCCACAGTTTAATGTGGGTGCGGAGGAAGGTAGGAAGGCTCGGTAGCGGAGGGTCCGTATCTGCTTTGCATTGCTCGATTCAATCCCAAGTATGCAGACAAAACTTGTTCGACTCGGGCCCGAGCCATTTGCGGTGTAGCCTGCTCTTTTTTATTTTATCCCCTACCACTCACATGCCTTCCAACCGACCCAACATTCCCTACGTACTGTCAATCTATACAGCAACCAGGTGCCTGAAATTTGAAGTCGAAAAATCAACTAAGCTGGCCTCCAAAAAACTGGTCCATTTATTCGAGGCTGGAATGGGAGGAGGAAGGCTCGGTAGCGGACGGTCCACATCTGCTTTCCATCAGAAGTGTGCGAGAAAATAATGCAGATTTCGCCTGTTCGACTCAGGTCCGAGCCATGTTCATCATTTGCTGAATCTTTTCACTTTTTTTTTTCATTCGCTCTAAAAATCCTGTGGAATAATGAAGGTGCACAGCAGGATGGGAAGGCTCGGTAGCGGGTGGTCCACATCTGCTTTCCATCACAAGTGTGCGAGCAAATAATGCAGACAAGGCCTGTTCGACTCAGGCCCGAGCCATTCCATTGTTGGTACATCTCTTTTTTCATTCCTCTAGAAGTTACCTGTCATAAGGGAGGCTGAGAGGGAGGTGGATAAGGCTCGGTAGCGGATGGTCCGCATCTGACTTCTTTCAACGACCTCCATCCAGAGAATAATGTAGACAAAGCCTGTTCGACTCAGGCCCGAGCCATCTCCATGCTCCAGTTATTTTTTGTTGCCATTCCTACAAAAAATTTCACAACAAAATATTGGTGCAGAAGGAGGTAGAAAGGTTTGGTAGTGGAGGGTCTGCATCTGCTTCCATTACATGTGTATGAGGGGATAATGCAGACAATGCCTGTTCGACTCAGGTCCGAGCTATAACTATGTTCTCAAGACTTTTTTCTCCTCATCATCCCAATAAATTGCCTCGGTTAAGGAAGGTGCTAGGAGAAAGAATAAGGCTCGGTAGCGGATGGATCCGCATCTGCTTTCCATTTCTCGTGTTCTGTAAGATAATGCCGATAAAGCCAGTTCGACTCAGGCCCGAGCCATAACTCAATCGCGTTCTCTTTTTTCATTGTCATTCCCTCCGGAAATTGTGAGTTATGCGAGGTCCAGAACGAGGGAATAAGGCTCGGTAGCGGATGGTCTGCATCTGCTTTCCATTCGACGGGATTATATAAGAGTAATGCAGACATAGCCTGTTCGACTCGGGCCCGAGCCATTGTGGGTTTCGCTCCTTTTTTTCTTATCATTCCCCCAGAAATTCTACAATAAAAATGAGAGTGGAGACAGAGGTAGATAAGGCTCGGTAGCGGATGGTCCGCATCTGCTTTGCATTGTGCGCAGCAATTCCTGATTATGCAGACAACGCCTGTTCGATTCAGGCCCGAGTCATAATTTGTGGGCATCTCTTTTTGCTCTCGTTTCTCTCCACACAATTCTTAGGTGCGAAGCAAGGGAATAAGCTCGGTAGCGGACGGTCCACATCTGCTTTCCATCAGAAGTGTGTGAGCAAATAATGCAGATTTCGCCTGTTCGACTCAGGCCCGAGCCATGTGCTTCATTTGCTGGATTTTCCCCCCCTTTCTCTTTCATTCGCTCTAAAAATTCTGGGGAATAATGCAGGTGTACAGCAGGATGGGAAGGCTCGGTAGTGGACGGATCCACATCTGCTTTCCCTGTGTGGTGCAAAAGGTAGTGCAGACAAAGCCTGTTCAACTCAGGCCCGAGCCATGTTCATTATTTGCTGGATTTTCCCCCCTTTCTCTTTCATTCGCTCTAAAAATCCTGCGGAATAAAGAACGGGTACAGAGGCAGGTAGGAAGGCTCGGTAGCGGACGGCCCGCATCTGCTTTCCATTACAGATTGTTACCAGAGTAATGCAGACATCGCCTGTTCGACTCAGGCCCGAGCGATTAAAATGTTATCACCTTGTGAACGTTTTTTGTCATTCCCGAGAAAATTCCACAGTAAAATGAGGATGCAGAGGGAGGTACGAAAGCTCGGTAGCGGATGGACCGCATCTGCTTTCCATAAATGTGTCCAGGGCATAATGCAGACAAAGCCTGTTCGATTCAGGCCCGAGCCATCGACCTCCTCTATTCCTTTTTTTCTCCTGTCATTCCCGAGAGAATTCTACAATAAAGCACGGGTACAGAGGCAGGTGGGAAGGCTCGGTAGCGGACGGTCCGCATCTGCTTTCCATTACAGATTGTTACCAGAGTAATGCAGACATCGCCTGTTCGACTCAGGTAGTCTCTTATAAACAGACGGTACAACAAATATTGAGCTCATACTTCGCTTTCTTGTATCGACTCAGGTCCAAGCCATAATTCGTGTACATCCTCTTTTTTTTGTTCTTGTTTCTCTCCATATATTTTTAGGCATAGAAGGTACGAAGTGAGGGAGAAAGGCTCGGTAGCGGATGGTCCGCATCTGCCCAATATGTTTCATCTCGGCCAATATTGATGCATACATCGCTGTTCGACTCAGGCCCGAGCCATAGACTGTTTTCCATTCCCCGGAAAATTCCACAACAAAACCCGAATGCAGAGGGAGGTACAAAGGCTTGGTAGCGGATGGTCCGCATCTGCTTTCCATTATGCTACTCGAAGAAGCCAATAATGCAGACACTGCCTGTTCGACTCAGGCCCCAGCCATCCATCGATTCGTGAGCTGATTTTTTTTTTTTGCCATTCCCCCACAAAATTCTGCAATAAAACAGGGGTGCAGAGGGAGGTAGGAAGGCTCGGTAGCAGAGGGTCTGCATCTGCTTTCCATTAATCTGGTATTCCAGAGAATAATGCAGACATCGCCTGTTCGACTCGGGCCCGAGCCGTAAGATATCGGCTTTGTTGTTGTGCCCCCCAGAATTTTATCACCTTCTGACATTTTTTGTCATTCCCTCGGGAAATTGTGTATCATAGGAGGTGCGAAGCAAGGGGGGAAGGGTCGGTAGCGGATGGTCTGCATCTGCTTTCCAACGTTCATTTCTTTTGCGGAGTCAATAATGCAGACATCGCCTGTTCGACTCAGGCCCGAGCCATAGTTTTGCTGCATTGCTTTTTGTCTTTTTGTCATTCGCTCTAAAATTCTGGAGAATAATGAAAGTTTGAGAACATGGATTGGGGCTCGGTCGTGGAGGGTCCACATCTGCCCTCAATACTTAGAAGGAGTACGTATATTGATTGCAGATATTGCCTGTTCAACTCAGGCCCGAGCCATCACTCTTTTCGACCCTGTATTTTTTTTTTTCATTGGGCCAGTCCCTCTAGAAATTCTCAGTTGTGAGAAACACTGAAAAGGAGATAGGAAGGTTCGGTAGTGGAGGCCCGCATCTGCTTTCCATCAATTCTTCCCGTTGTCATACTGCAGACAAAGCCTGTTCGACTCAGGCCCGAGCCATGTTGGATTGTTACACTCTTTTCGCCATTCCTCCCAAGAAATTCTATAATAAAATAAGTGTGCAGAGGGAGGTGGATAAGGCTCAGTGGAGGGTCCGCATCTGCTTTGCATTGCTCGATTCAATCCACAGTATGCAGACAAAGCCTGTTCGACTCAGGCCCGAACCATTGCGCTTTCCCGTACATTTTTTTTCTCCTGACATTCATTGCCCCAGAAAATTCTGCAATAAAATAAGGGTGCAGAGGGAGGTAGGAAGGCTCGGTAGCAGATGGTCCGCATCTGCTTTCCATTTCAAGTTGTCACCAGAGTAATGCAGACACTGCCTGTTCGACTCGGGCCCGAGCCATTGCTCTTTCCTGTACATTTTTTTTATCCTCACATTCATTGTCCCGAAATCCCACAACAAAAGGAGAGTGCAGAAAGAGGTGGATACGGCCCGGTGAAGGGTCTGCATCTGCCCTCAATAGAGGTATAATGCATATATTGATGCAGACAAAGCCTGTTTGACTCGGGCCCGAGCCATTTCTAGTTTCAATAATTGCGAGTCATGTTGAGTGAGGTAAGGGAGGATAACTTGTTTTTATTTCATCCATGAAAGAGTCTGTCCTCCAAAAAACCCAACATTCCCTACTGCCAATCCCCACAACGAATTTCGCGCCCGAAGTATCGAATCGAAATTTCAGCTCGGTCTGGGATCCGAAGGTCAGTCGAGGTTTGGTCAAATTTGCTTCGAAAAAACTGACCCACTGATTAATGGCTGGAAGGGAGGGAATAGGCTTCGGTAGCAGACGGATCTGCATCTGCTTTCCATTGAATGTGCGAAAATCGGTAATGCAGACATCGCCTGTTCGACTCAGGCCCGAGCCATTCCCGTTTTGCACTACTTTTTTTCTTCAATAATTCCGGTGTCCTAGAGTCTCCAGTCGATTGTTCCTTCAAATCCGCGGTTTCCAAGTCCAAACCACCATGACGGTTCCAAGGTAGTTCAAGGCTATTTCAAAGCTACGCTCCAAAAACAGGCCATTGGTTCGAGGCTGGAATGGAAGGAGGAAGGCTTGGTAATAGAGGGTCTGCATCTGCCCTCAATAATTTTCTGCAGTTATCATTGATGCAGACAAAGCCTGTTCGACTCAGGCCCGAGCCATGCCCGCTTTTCACCGCATTTTTTCTCCTCTCATTCATTGCTCCGAAATTCCACAATAAAACACAAGTGCAGATAAGCGAGGGAAGGCTCGGTAGCGGAGGGTCAGAATCTGCCCTCAATGCTGTGGCGGACATGATGTTGATGCAGACATCGCCTGTTCCACTCAGGTCCGAGCCATTAGCGTCGTTTAAAGTTCTCCTTTTTGTCTCCTTTTCAGTCTCCTTTTTACTTTCCTTTTCATCTTCCTGAACCGAGAAGGAGGACAAGTAGGAACCATGAAAAGGAGCATTTTTGCGAAAATGAGCTCGCAAGGCCATTTTCGCCAAAATGCTCCTTTTCGTCGTCTTCCTTCTTGTGCCGAGATTTAGAACTCCGCACTGGACTTTGATCCCATCATTCCCTTTGTCCTTTCCCTCCACACGTTCTCATCGCACCTTCTCTATCCTATTATAATTAGCTACTCATTGTCAGTGAATACCATTTGTTTGTCCCATGGGCTGGACTTCTCCGAAAAAATTGCGCAAAAAGGCACTCGCAAAGTCCAGTGCCACTCACGGGGGCGGTAACCGCTCCACCGTCGCGAAAGTAGCTATAGCACCTCAATTTGAGACATGATGAGATCATTGCAGGCACTGATAACAAGACCGGAGCAGCTCGCATGTTCTGAGACAAACACGGGCGCACTGATCGCCTGCTCGGCTGGCTTGGAGTTTCAGACGGCAGATCCCTTGCCGATGCCGGCCGAAATGTGCTGAAGAGAAGGAACATTCTCCTACTGACTTCCTTCTTGGAAAATACAGGGTTTAAAGTTCACCTTTTTTGTTTCATTTTCGCATTTTGGCAGAAAAATGGCGAAAGGAGGCGAAAAGGAGCGCGAAAAGGAACGCGAAATTAATATTCCCTCCAGAAATGCAACAATAAAATAAGGCTGCAGGGGGGGGGAGGAATAAGGCTCGGTAGCGGATGTCCGCATCTGCCTTCCATTCAAAGTCGTTACCAGAGTAATGCAGATAAAGCCTGTTCGACTCAGGCCCGAGCCATTTCACGTTTCACTCAATTTTTTTCTCTTCTTCATTGGCCAGTCCCTCTAGAAATTCTCAGTTGCGAGGAACATTGAAAGGCTATAGAAGTATGCAGACACTGTATTGCCTGTTCGACTCGGGCCCGAGCCATAGGTCTGCCGCCTTTCATTTTTCTTCTCTTTTTGTGATTCACTCTAAAAATTCTGTTTGTGAGGAACATTTAGAGAGAGGTAGGAAGGCTTGGTAGCGGAGGGTCCACATCTGCTTTCCATTCAAGATGCATATGTGTGAAAATGGGTAATGCAGATATTGATTGCCTGTTCGACTCAGGCCCGAGCCGTAAGATATCAGCTTTGCTTTGTGCCTCCCTCCCACCTGGAACTCTTGGTTTTGGAGAGGGTTAAAAGGACTGAGCAAGGCTCGGTAGGAGGGTCTACGTCTGCTTTCTATTAGAGGTGTTAAAGAGGGTAACACAGATATCACCTGTTCGACTCAGGTCCCAGCCATCGCTCTTTTCCATATTTCTTTTTTTCTCCTGACATTCATTACCCCAGAAAATTCTACAATACAATAAGAGTGCAGAGGAGGTAGGAAAGGCTCGGTAGCGGAGGGTCCGCATCTGCCAATATGCCTCTTGTATGACATTGATGCAGATAAAGCCTGTTCGACTCAGGTCCGAGCCATGTGTGATTGTTGCACTCTTTTTGCCATTCCCCCAGAAATCCTACGATAAACTGAGAGTGCAGAAAGAGGTAGAAAGGCTCGGTAGCAGACGGATCTGCATCTGCTTTCTATTCAACATCGTTACCAGAGTAATGCAGATAAAGCCTGTTCGACTCAGGCCCGAACCGTAAGATATCGGCTTTCTTTGTCTTTTTTTGTCATTCCCTAGAAGATTCTACGACAATTGAGGATGCAGACGGAGGGAACATGGCTCGGTAGCGGAGGTTCCGCATCTGCTTTCCATGAAGTGGGATTCCAGAGCATAATGCAGACAATGCCTGTTCGACTCAGGCCCGAGCCATACCCGAGTTTTCACCACATGTTTTTTCGTCACTCCCCCCAGAAATTTCACAATAAAATGGGGATGCAGAGACCGGTGGATAAGGCTCGTAGTGGATGGCCCGCATCTGCTTTCCATCACAAGTGTGCGAGCAAATAATGCAGATAAAGCCTGTTCAACTCGGGTCCGAGCCATCAATCTCTTCTTTGATTCTTCTTCTCTCTGTCATTGATATTCCCTCCAGAAATTCAACAATAAAATAAGGGTGCAGGGGGGAGGGATAAGGCTTGGTGGCGGAGGGTCAGCATCTGCCCAATATGCTTCATCTTGATGCAGACATAGCCTGTTCGACTCAGGCCCGAGCCATTTCTAGTTTGATTCGCATTTTCTTCTTTTGCCAGTCCTCTAGATGAAAGGGAGGTAGGAAGGCTTAGTGCTGGCCAAGAATATGATACGAAAAATTAAATTTTGAATATATTCAAGAGAATACAGATATGATACGGCTCTTGAGGCTCCATCTGAATATGAGTACAACAGAATATGAATATGGATATGATATGAATACAATATAATACCGGCCTGGTGTATTCAAATATATTCGATTACAGGAAAGTATTGATTTTAGCTGCCAGCTGTCACCAGCTGAAGGTCGGAGCATCAAAAAATCTATCAACCAACATCGGAAACTGACACGGGTGCTGAGGGCAACCACCAGGCACAAAATTTGCTGCTGCCGCAAGCGTGCCGGAAATCTCCGCCTCGCATCAAAATTTCGTGATGTTGATGTTTAACTTCTTGTGAACAATATATTCACTTCCAGGCACATTCAGCTCCGAAATATCCAAAGAAAGTGAATATGAGACATGTTGGGATATGCAGAACATGGTTCAGCACAGTCGGGTGGGTCTTTATTGCCCAAAGTTGAGTGGCTGAATATATCTGAATATATCCATATTTTATTCATATTGTATCGTATTCATATCCATGCTGGTGAGTACAAATACGATATGAGCCCGGGAAGGTGAATACAATACAGATATGAATATGATATGGCAAATCCGTATTCATATCATATTATGGCCAGCACTAGGAAGGCTCGGTAGCAGAGGGCCCGCATCTGCTTTCCATGAAGTGTGATTCCAGAGCATAATGCAGACATTGCCTGTTCGACTCAGGCCCGAGCCATCAGAGTCTTCTCTCTATCTCTTTTTTTATTTCATTCCCTATGACTACCTTGGCTAATAAGCTGCGGTTACAACCGACTCAACATCCTGAAATTTCAACTCAAACATTCAGCTAGGCAAGAGAGCACATTATCAGAAGTCTGCCGTTCCAAGGCAGATCAAAGCTACACCCAGAAAAGTGGTCCATTTATTTAAGGCTACAAGGAAGGTAGGAAGGCTCGGTAGCGGATGGTCTGTATCTGCCCTCAATGATTTTGGCGTCCATCTTGATGCAGACATCGCCTGTTCGACTCAGGACCGAGCCATGCCACTCAACCAGAAGTTCTTTTTGTTATTCCCTCTAAAACTTGTGAGGACCATTTAGAGGGAGGTAGGAAGTGCTTAGTAGCGAAATGGCTCCATCTCTCAGTCTCTTACCTGTAGAACTATTCTTTTATCTTTTATTTCATCTCCTGACAAGTTACGACTACCTTGTTTTCCAACCAACCACTCAACATTTCCCAACCCAATCCACACAATTGACTACTCGCCCGAAATTTCAATTAAAAAAAATTCAGCGAGGTGGATTTTTAACTCAAACATTCAGCTAGGCAAGAAAGCTTGTCATCACAAGTCCGCTGTCCCAAGTCAGTTCAAGGCTGGCCTCAGAAAAGTGGTCCGTATATTTGAGGCTAGAACGGGAGGAGGAAGGCTCGGTAGCGGATGGTCCGCATCTGCTTTCCATGCAGCTGTCGTTACAATGTAATATGCAGATAACGCCTGTTAGACTCAGGCCCGAGCCATTACTCGCTATTAGTTCTTTTTTATTCATTTTACCATTCGCTCTAGAAATTCCACAATAAAATAATGATACAGAGGGGAGGAATAACGCTTGGTAGCGGAGGGTCCGCATCCGCCCTCAATATTGAGGTATAATGCATATATTGATGCAGACAAAGCCTGTTCGACTCAGGCCCGAGCATTTATAGGGAGGGAGGAAGGCAAGGTTTGGTCGAAGGTCCGCACCTGCTTTCCATTTGTGGTGCACCAGACAATTAGGCAGACAATGCCTGTTTGACTTAGGCCCGAGCCATCGCCAGTTTCGCTGCTTTTTTTTCTCCTGCTAATTGTTCCCCTAGAAATTCTACAATAAAATAAGAGTAATAAGACTCGGTAGCAGACGGCCGCATTTGCTTGCTGTCATGCTTGTGCAGAAGTAATTACACAGATAATGCTTGTTCAATTCAGGCCCGAGCCATACATCTTCGACTTCATTTTTTTTTTTTTTCCTTTTGCCATTCCCCCAGAAAATTATATGTCAAAATAAGGGTACAGAGCAAGGGACAAAGGCTCGGTAGCAGGGTCTGCATCTGCCCTTAGTGAATTGTTTTGATCATCGTTGATGCAGACACTGCCTGTTCGACTCAGGTCCGAGCCATGACAATTTCTAGCCGCAATTTCTTTTTCTCGCTGCAGAAATTCCGAATCCTAAGGGAGGTGCGGAGGGAGCGAGGAAGGCTTTGTAGAAGACCCTCTGCTGCAATTTAAATTTTAAATTTTAAAATTGTAGCAGAGGGTCTTCCCTCAATGAATCAGAGGACATGATGTGGATGCAGCCTGTTTGACTCAGGCCTGAGCCATGCATTCTTTCCGTCCAATCTTTTTGCCATTCCCTGGCAGAAAATTCCATAATAAAATGAGGGTGGAAAGGCAGGGAGGAGGTTCAGTAGTGGACAGTCTGCATTTGCTTTCAATTCGCTAGCCGCGCTGAAACTAATAATGCGGACGATGCCTGTTTGATTCAGGCCCGAGCCATATGATATCCGCTTTGTTTGTGTACCCCCTCCAACCTGAAACTCTTGGAATTGGGGAAGTTTAAAAGGACTGAGGAAGGCTCGGTAGCGGGGGGTCCACATCTGCTTTCCATTAACTGTGTGGTCATTGTTGATGCAGATGAAGCCTGTTCAACTCGGGCCTGAGCCATAGCTCTGGCCCCTTTCTTTTCTTTTTGTCATTTCCCCGGAAGATTCTACACTGAAATGAGGGTGCAGAGCAAGGTGGATAAGGTTCGGTAGTGGAGGGTCCACATCTGCACTTTATTCTAGGTGCAAAGGATATAATGCAGACAAATCCTGTTCAACTCAGGCCCGAGCCATGACCATTTGTCCTCAAAATTCTTTCTCCTTATTGTCCCAATGAATTTCCAAGGTCACAAGAGAGGTCAGAGCAGAGTGAGGCAGGCTCGGTAGTGGAGGGTCCACATCTGCCTTCCATTCAAAGTCATTAGCTTGATGCAGACAAAGCCTGTTTGACTCAGGCCCGAGCCATGAATTCTCACCGTCCAACCTTTTTGCCGTTCCCCAGAAAATTCTTTAATGAAATAAGGATGCAGAGGGAGGTAGATAAGGCTCGGCAACAGAAGGTCTGCATCTGCAATCAATACATCATAAATTCCAAGGTACAGCTCCAGACACCATTGCCTGTTTGACTCAGGTCCGAGCCATTCACTTGCATATATTTCTTTTTGTATTCCATCCCCCACGAACCGAACTGAAAGGTTTTTCCTGATTTGAATTATGCACGTTTGGAACGTCATATGATGCTGTGATGGCAACTGACGAAATTTCCTTTTTCTGAAGGGGGGGGAGGGGGGGAGGGGGGGACTTATTGGCTGATCCAACGCCATGGAAGCAGAATACAACAAACATCGCGCACCACGGCCAATCTACACACGACTTCAAGTTCGTCTGGCACGCAAGCGCTTCGGCCATTTGCCCGGCCCATTGCTTGCCCCATAATCTCATTCACCTGTATGCCCATCACCCGCATTTGTCATATTTTTCTCAACGACCTTGACTCCGAGCATGTAGAAATTTAGATCTTATTCTCACATAGTTATTTTTGAGTGACACGAATCACAACACGCTCCAGCTGACTGGCGCGTCTTGTCTGTTGCCGTACAATAGATGCTAAACATGTCGTCGGCGGTCTGCCTGCCATTGTTTTACTTATACCCACTGTCCAACCTCCGTCCAATCTCCCCATGCATGTCGCAAGGCCATGTGGCTTGCGACCCCCTTGGAAATCAAACATTAGCTCGAACACCCACCATCTCCTGAAGAAGGTCGTGGAGAGAGAGAAGGATGGGATACAGAGTCATACATAGGTAAAATGCGTGTTAATCGCACATGCAGTCAAGGAGAACTCATCTATCTTTGTCGCATTTGCCGGCTATAACTCGTATGACGCCATCGTGTTGTTCCTACCCCATCGGAAAGCTCTCAGTTCCGGAAGTACAAAGTGTGCGTCTCGTATGATCATGCACCCCTCTATCCCTTCACCCACCATGTCGACTTTTCTTAAACATAGTCTCCGATATATTGTCGAGGCAGGGATATATGGAGCCGCATCTATTGCCTTGACTATGATTCTAGTCGCCTATCTCACCCTCTCCCGCCGCAACACTATCCGGAATATCCCCGGGCCTCCTTCCCCTTCGTGGATTTTTGGTTGAACTTCCACTTTATCTCATCGGGCCTTGCTAATTACGCTATATGAGCTAGGGCACATGTTGCAATTAATGATGCCCCCGATGTACGGCGACTATGAGTTCAAGTGGCAGAAGACGTACGGGCTTGTCTACCGACTGAAGGGGTGTTTCGGAGTTCGTCTATTCAGCTGAAAGAGCGTCTCTGTGGCTTATCCCCCACATAGCAGGATCAATTGATGATTTCGGATCCTGCTGCCTTAAAGTATATCTTGAATAGTCCGCATTTTAGACGGGGACCCTTGAAGGATAGCACCGCGTACTTGCTGTTCGGTGATAAAAGTATCGTGACGGTGAACGGTAGGTTTTGCCACTCCATCCGATATGTATACTACGCAGGTACTGACTGAGAGCTTCTACAGAGCACGCTCATAAGCGTCTCCGAGCTGCATTAAATTCCGGATTTACTGCAATTGCAGTCCGGAACCATCTTCCTGTGTTTGAAAAGGTGGCACAGATGGTGAGCCCATTCAAGTTCTTGCTCACCCAACTACTTGGATTTACTTCTTGTCCCAACAGTTGACCTATCGGTTAGAGGAGTCTTCCGGAGCATCGACCGATATATGTCCTCTTCTCAGTCTTGCTACAATAAGCGCAGTAGCTGAAGGTACAATGAACTATATTTTCTTTCAATTGCCGGGTCTAAATTTCTTTTTTGTTTCAGCGATCTTGGGCTATCCAGCCAAAGATCTAGGAGAAGAATTCCTAGCGAACAATTTTCGGGCGATGTGCTCCCACCCTCTTCCTTGCGCAAAAATGTTGGGTTGACGAACGGCTGTTGTAGGACCCTGGCATCCAATCAATCCGCGTTCCAAATCCTCGCCCACGCCATTGCTACGGGGTTACCTACGCGGATTCGGGATGCGGCTATCCGGCTTCCGACCCAAACCTACAAAACTCTACGGACGTCGCAGCTTCTGGCGAGTAACCTCGGGAACCAACTCGTTCGAGAGAAAATGGATGCGGCACGCCAGGGATTGGGGACGAACGTGGATTTTTATAGCCAGCTTGGTGAGTATCTCCACGGTGGATCGTCTCTCAATATGCTGAGGGCTCCATATTCAGTGGATGCAGATCACTCAGACAAGACCAAGAATGCACTCACGGGAGAAGAGATCGCTGCCCAAACAGCAATTCTTTTAATTGCCGGACAAGACACTACTGTACCAGAGTCATTTGAGAGGTGCCGAAGGCTAATGGTCTCGAATTTATAGGCTAACACCTTGGCTTTCGGATTCCTGGAGCTCGCCCAAGCTCCCGAACTACAAGATAAACTCCGCGCCGAGATTCATTCGACCCTCGGGGCTGCCCGCGCCGGCAGCGTTTCATACGATAGCATGCCATTGTTGAACGCATTTATTAAGGCGAGGATCTGCCCAGTGCTTATTCAAAAAAAGTAATAAACCGCTTGATTCGTGGCATAGGAAACACTCAGGATGTACCCTGCCGCGACAATTTCGGATCGCACAACTCTTGAAGATTCGGTTATTCCCTTGGCCAGCAGTATTATGACCTCAACGGGCGAGCACATTTCACAAATATCAGTTCGAAAGGGTCAGCTTTTGCAGCTGGGACTCGCGTCCTATAATCGGTCCGAACCGTCCCAATTAAATACACCTTTCTCGGCTCACCAGCCCATCCAGACTCGAGTCACGCTGGGGTGCGGATGCACACGAGTTTAAGCCATCGCGCTGGCTTGAGGGGACAGTGTACAATGGGGACGCCTTTGGTCCCTACGCCAATCTGTCAGTCGATTTAGTTGTTTTGCCTTTTATCGCTGTTTGACATACTGTTCATAGTCTTACTTTCCTCGGTGGCCCACGCACATGTCTCGGGTACGATTCACATTACTGTTGAACTCGTTCAATATTCACGAGCCTCGGCCGTAACTAGATGGCGTTTTGCGTGAGTCAACTTCCTCAAGTTTTTTTGGGCCTCCTTACATTCGAGCAGGCTATTGGAGATGCAAGTATTTATCTGCGAGTTGGTCGCCAAATTCTCATTTGCACTGCCGGAGGGCGAACCCGTCGGCACTCGTTGGGCCACCACGCTCCAACCGATTACGTCCAATGGAAAGAAGGGCGCTCCACTCTGCATTAAACGCATCGTATAGCCGGTAAAGCCGCACGCAAGTTGTATTCGGTCGTATTCATCCCATTGAGAGTTGCTTCTGATAGCCCTGGGATGAACAATGAACTTGCATGAAAAGAGAATTTATTACCACCATAACAAGTCTAGCACTCGATGTATGCCTTTTCTTCACAAATTGTATGTTTGAGCCGAGTTCATCAAACCTGTCGTCCTGTTCATTTTCCGCAAGTTCTTCCCCGGGATTATCCAGTATATAGCAAGCACCTTGCACTCATCAACGCTTGTAGTGCCCGGCCGCCTCTTTGTTGTATCCACCGGCGAGAAAGAGAGAGTTCGACTCCTCGAGCCCAAGCCATCATTTTTTGCAGTCTGTTTTTTTCTCGGAAATTGTACCTGTCGGGTTCGACCTAAACTTCTTTTGGCCTATTTACTGATGGTGCCCTGAGGCTCACGTTTCCCGATGCGGTTCCGTTTATTGTTATAGGTGTGGGTTGGATTAGTATGGATATGGGTTGTGTTGCGCGATGCGCGCGCGGAGGTGGCGAAGATTATCTGCCTCAAACTCCCGAATTCAGATCTTCAAAATGAAACAATCAGTGGTTCGATATTGATGTAAACGATAATACGAACCGATTGCTTTCCATTGTGTCCGATGAGCAGCCACTGCATTCCGTGGCCCCGTCGGCAGAGCTGGCGACATGGGTGGACGTCGGTCGACCTCTGCCGACATGTACCGAAGTGGCGTCGACAGACTCTGCCGACTATGGTCGGCCGAGGTCGACCGACCTCAACCCAGGCAAACAGACCTTGCCGACGTAGGGCTGGAATGCAGTGAGCTAGCAATACACTACCCAGGCTTTCCCCTTTGTCGCGAAAATCAACACGCCATTGATACTATCCACGGCAACCGCCCCCAACCAACCGATAAATTCTGGCGAGACGGCTAAAATGCAGCAAAGAGTTCCATTTTCCCCAAGTTGAATGAGGCTCCAATCGGATCCTTCGTAGTTTTGGCGTAAGATAAATGACATGCGCCTCGAAGGAGTCATCCGAAAACAAAAACGGACATCTCCGCATTCCATTTCTTCAGACATCCCTTCGACAGGCGCTGGCATTGTTCCATTGGTCGGAATGCGACGTATTGAGGTATGAACCTTTCGGAAAGTGTAGTTTAGAACTAGGTGGTCAAGTGATATTTCAGGCCGGTGGACGCGAATATTCCACTGGTCCGGTACACGCGTCCTTCTAGTCCAATGGAAAGTGCCGAGCTCTGCGATGAGTCGGTGATTGGTGACACCTGTTTCCCAATTGTTTCCTGATGTTGTTGGTTGAAGTTCAATGTCGATAAACTCTAGAGCAAACGGTACGCCGTCTTCTCTATCTCCAGCCACGACAGCTACCACGAGAGGAAGACGTGGGTGAAGGCATGCGTGAACAATCTAGAATCCCAAGTGTGTTGTCCGGATAATGAACATAACATTGAAGCAAACACTTACCGAATTGGCTGAGATCTTAGCTCGCGCTCGTTTTTGGTGGTTCAAATCTAAGAGAAGCAATTCCTCATTCAACCCGTGCCATGGCGTGTTCCAGATTAAAATGAGAAGATCCTTCATGCACATTTCAACTGACCGAGTCAGATATAGGGTCTGTGTAGCATAGAAGAGCGAGATGACCGGCGGGTTCGAATAT